CTAGTGTGCTTCGTTCGGTGCATTGCTCTACAATTATCAAGGCGGTATACTAAAACCTTTAAGTGCTAGCAAACAATTAAAATTTTGACATTTTCCTGTTAACACTAATAGTACCTCACACCAAACTTTTAAGGGCCTTAATAGTTCACTGTTAAGTTAAAACCTCGAGGCTTTTATCTAAGTCGTAATAGTGGATGTTAATTGATACCAAGCCGGCTCTTTCTAACATCATCAGCGGCGTAGCGCATTATATAAAGAGATAGAGAGAATATATTTAATGAATATGGCTGAGCCTTATTGTGAGTATTACCTCTTTATAGCAAAGATCTTCTGTGCGGCAGACAATACTGAAACCAACGTGTCTCACACTCTGCCACTGACCTGTCCACCACACCAGAAACCACCGTCAGTGAAAGTTGTAAAATCCTCCAGTTTCCGTCTCCACACTCCTCCATGCGACTCAGAGTCCTCAGGTTTCACTGCACCAGGCTCCTCAGTGTTTACAACATTCATACTTCCCCAAGCTCACCTATGCCTCCCCCTGTCTTCACTCCTAAATGCCTAGCATTAAACACCTAAAAAGTGCAAAAGAGGGCATGCAAAGATTATTCTCTCCCCTTCACTACTCCACATATCAAGCGCTCAACACACTGACCCTTTGGATTTGCAGCCATCACCACGACTCATCTGCAAATTTGGTAAGGCTTTGCCATCCTCGACACGGCTCCTACTACCACCTGAGATCCTAAGTCCAGTGCTGTTCGACACCACAACGCATCCAGCCCATATAGGTACTCAGCTTTGATCGGTTATAAGAACAGCCCAGTCCCAACCATTGTAAAAATTATCAATAACTTAATAAACCAGTGTATTCATTCCAGTAAACACTACTCTTGCGCATCACTATGTTTGAAATGAACTGTAGTTTGAGCTTTTCCTCTCTAGTTATTATATGTCTTATTTGTGTCACTTATGTTTCTTGTATATTATTTGTAATTCGAAACCCATTCCCCAAATATGTATCTGTATATTTTCAGCCTTCTGGCTGCCAAGCTCTTCAATAAGCCGTTATTATTATTATTATTATTATTATTGTAGTATTTCCAGCCAGGCCTCTTTGGTTATTTTTTATTCACCACCCATCATTTTTCTGCATAAAAATTATTTTTTGTTTTTTGTGGTTTGATGATTCTGACATTTATCTTTGGGGCAAACACTTTTTTTGGTTAGGTGGTTTTACTCCTGGCAGTACGTCACTTTACCTGCTTAGCCTCAAAAATTTGTTGCCCAAGGTAATGTAAGTCATCTAAAGCAAAGCTTGAAAAAATATATTTTTCATGCGAAAAATGGTAATGGGTGGTGAACGAAACCAGAGTGATGCTGCGTGTTACCATAACATAAATTGGGACTTCGAAAAAAAAATTTTTACAATTAATAAATCGCAAGTATCACGTTTGTTTTTGGAATGCGCCGTTTACTTCAAGTATATTCTTTCATTACTCGATGATATCTACTAAATGGTAAGAAAATAAACCTTAAAAAGGTGATGGGTTGATATTGAAAAATAACCCCCTCTTTTGTCTTTATTATTCAGGAAAGCCTTCAAGCAGCCATTCAATATTAACTTTTCTCTTCATTAGCATCCACCAATAATAAAGTCTGGTCTGCTGCCCAGTTGGGCTTCTTTTTCTTTCGTGGGGCTGTGAATTCCATTTCCTCAATAACACGTTTGTTTACTAACAGCACGGCAAGGAAAAGCCACCGATCACTATCCTCGGTTAATAAATCCTCCTTCAAACGGCATAGATTAGATTTATTTTTATTTTAATGATCAAAATGTATACAGCTGCTCCTCAATTTACGACGGGGTTAGGGACCCAAATCCAGGTTGTAAGTCGAATTGGTCGTAAGTCGAAAATGCTTAAATAATACATAGAAAATCTAAAATGGGTGTCTCTTTTTCTTCTCAGCACCACAAAACTCTCATTTTTACGCTTGCCAGCCATTTTAAAGTGAAATACAATTGAAAATTTTGTCAGCATACAGCGCACTCACTAATGTCAGGACTCGAAAATACGTAATTTGATAAAATTTTGGTATGACTGAGGCGGTCGTATGTCCGGGTGGTCGTAAGTCAAGTAGGTCGTAAGTCGAGGAGTAGCTGTATAAATGTAAATATTTAAATTAATCTTCATAATTTTATTGAGGTTATTCAGCCATAAGACCATTTTATATGATGAACTCCTGCTATCCTTAGAAATGTTTAGCGGTACTTAACAACAACTATTTGTGCTGTAAAATTTTGCGAGTTAATCTTTGTGTAATTTTTTAATTTTACTGCTAGCTAACAGTACTATTTTGTCATTAGCATAAAAGTTTTGTGTATATGGGCCCAGACTATTTACTACCAGTAGAAGTCTTGTGGGTCTCTAACTTGGCTGTGAGTCTTTGAAAATCCGGCCAATATGTCGTCAAGACTGTAAGATTAGCTCCGTCAGATGTTGATTTGTGAGGATTGTATGATGTTTTGACTTCACAAACTTCATCACAGAGTACAGTGATTCACAGAAGTATGTTGTGTTGAAAATTGAGATGAGACGCATACTAGTTTTATTGAGTTCAGGAGACTTTGTTTCTATTTTGTTTCTGGAACTTGCTTCCAGAACTCAACTGTAGACTGAGATTTATGGATCATCTTTAGACCCAGGTCCTCCTGAAATTCCATTAGTTCCATTTCCACAGCAGCTGATTCTGTAACCAGAGGTTCGAGAATCGGACAACCACCATTGATTACATTAACCATGAATGGATTTATAAGAAAGGTGAAGCAGGGTTTCAGCTTCTGCAAATAATGAAATCTGGCTAGGAAATTGTCAAGCAGTCCTTGTAATTTATCTTTGTATTCTTCTAGTTTGTGGTCTTTTATTTCAATATCAGGGAATCTATTTACTCTCCTTTTGAGATGGGGGAAGTGGCTGAAGTTTCTTGACAGTGTGTTTCTTTGAAAAACTCTTATTTTATTCTGGAAGCTGAAAATTTTTTGAGTAAGATAGGAAATAATCTTTTCCTTCCCCTGGAGTGCCAAGTTGAGAGTTTGTAGAGGTTTCATTATATCAGTAAGGAACACCAGATCTTGCATCCATTCATCATTTTCCAGTTGAGGATAGGCTCTTTTTCTTTCTTCAAGAAAAGTAGTGAGAGGGTCCAACAGATCTACAAACCCATTCAGGACGTTGCTGGTCGACAGCCACCTCACAATGCAGTAGAAAGAGACATCGTTGGGATTGTCTTCAAGCTCCAGTTCTTCATTAAAGTTTTTTAACTGTCGGTGGGTCTTCCCATTTGAGCGGATGAATTTGACAATATCTAGGACAAATTTCATAACATTTTCGTACCTGAAGTATCTGGCTGCTAGGTGTTGACGATGAATGATGCAGTGAATAAGGAGGAACTCTGGAAATTTGGGATCACTTTTCATGAGTGCAATTAGTCCTGTATATTACCCCACCATTGCAGGTGCTCCATCTGTTGCAACACTGACAAGTTTATCGAGTGGAACATCAGCATTTGTTAAGGCTCTGTCAAGCGCATTTTTATTGTCAACACCACGAGTTGTTTCTTTTAGTGCCACAAAGTCTAACATCTCTTCTTTCACAGTTACATCAGAGGAAACATAACGAACAAATACCACCAGTTGTGGGTTGTCTTGTATGTCTGTAGACTCATCAAGAGCTAAGCTAAATGCTAGAGAATTCTTCAAATCATTTTGCATCTTGCTTACAACATCAGCACTTATCTAGAAAATATGCCTCTCTGTAGTGTGGTGTGAAACTGGAGTTTGTTATTAGTTTCTGAAGTTTTGTGTTATTTGGATCTAACACTGCAACAACTTAAGCTATATTCTTCTTAACAAATTCTCCATCAGAATATGGGCGTTTAGCATGAGCAATATTCCATGAAATAGCAAAACTAGCTTCAGTCGTCGTATCAGCTTCCTTACTGAACGTTGTCAACAGTGTCCGCTGGCTATTTAGTGATGATTTTAACTCGGTTAGCTTGATTTTCCGTAATTCTGATTTAGGTGGATAATCACACAAAAAGTTTTTGTGATTTGCTTTGTAGTGGTTTTTCAAGTTTCTGGCTTTGTAGTGAGTGAATGACACATTGCAGATAAGGCACAAAGGTTTGCCTCCTTTATCGGTGAATGCAAAATCTTCCTCCCACTCTGGCTTAAAATTTCAGTTTTCATCTTCATACTTTTGCTTCTTACAATTTGATGATGCCATTTTCCTTCACAAAATTTTTGCAGACACAGTGCTATCAAATAAATTTAACAGCATTTAAAAACAACTTACTCTTGTGAACTGTAAACACAATTTATATCCTGAGAGTACTGTATGTATATTATGTATGCTGGATTATGTATTATGTATGTATATTATGTATGTGCTCCATTTATATTTATTCAGCCTAGCTAGCAGCGTGTGGCAATGTTATTACCATATCCCACATGCTTAATTAATGTGCCTGGCGACGTATGGAAGCTGCCAATATCAACACGCCCGTCGTCTAATAGTGACATGGGGTAGTGCTACCTCTGTGTACATACTTCTTATCCGATTAACCAGACCTACAATATACAG